GGGTGGCTGCACCCCCACTCCCAACTCGCCTCTGTGAGTTGGCCAGAGTGGGGAATTTTTTTAAGTCCCCAAATCAGGTAAAAATCCTGTCATCGTCCCTTTCCCTGCCCCCAGTATCAGCATACCACCCCACCCCTACCATTCCCCCCGCCTTGCTGCTGCTGTCCTTAGCTAATCCAGGTGTGGGGGGAGGATCCAATGGGAACAGTGATGGTAGCAGGCAGGTTTCTCTTTTCTACCGGTCTCTCTGGGTGTTCCCTGCCAGCCTGGGAACAAATATGGTGCTGGGTAACCTGCTTGCCACTACTGCTGGCCCCTGCTGAGGTTGGCTGCAGCAGCTTTGGAGGCCCCCCCCCGGAAATGAATTGGGAGGGTTGTTGGGGGACAGTCTCCAGAGCTACTGCAGCTGGGGACAGCAGAGGTTGCAGCGGTTTGCTGGTGGGCTGACAGGGAATACCTGGGGGGTATACAGAGAAGAGGAACCCCCTGTGCTGCTACTGTTTCCAGCTGGAGTGCAGCAGGAGCTGCTCTGGAGCACTTTCCCAGCCACCTGCAAGCTCCTGAATCAGCCAGGGACAGCAGGACCAGTGGGCAAGGAAGGGGACATGCTACTGAGGACAGAAGGGAACGGAGGAGGTGCTGAGAGCAGGCAGCGAATGGGATTCTTGCCTGCTTTGGGGACTTATAAAAAGTCCCTGGCTGCTTCTCCCATGGCTTGGTCAAATAGTGGGGTGATTCCACACCATTGATCCCTACCCTAACCCTGCATACCATACCTCCATCTGAGTTTCTCCATTACCTCCTAGAAAATTAATGCATTTTGTTAAGTTTCTTGTCTTTTCTTTTCAATATTATACATAACTTGCAGCCACTCCTGAAATATCCATGCCTCGACAATACAGTTTTGCCAACTGCAGATATACAAATAAAGTACACACACCTATCAAGACTTAAGCTCTAAAACACTCACAAGATTATTTTAAACTCAATTAGTTTTTATAATAAAATCTTGGGCTCTTTTTACATCTAATTTTTGAGCCATTAAGGTTCAAGCTTCCTCTACCACAACCAGAGGGAAACTTTTTTTTGTTTAAATGAAAGCTGAGGTTTTCCCATAATCCAATGTCTCTAGGAACTGTTGCTTTAAAGAAATTACTAAGTATTAGGAGATATATGAGAGCATGAAAGACCTGCTATTACACCTAATAGGGGAATCAAAGCAAGAAACTGCCACCACAGCAGTTTAGAATTCATACTTTTGCCACAGCCAATTAAAAATCGGACCTCAGATTATGAGCAGCGTTCTAAATCTGAAAGTTTTAAGGGCTTGATTCAGGTACAAGAGATACACCTATATATAATACTACCATAGAAACTAAAATAAGTTAGATAAATTGAAACAAAGGCTGTAGGGCACAAACATTCCTTAAACTCTAGCTGATTTATAAGGATGTTTAGGCATGCGGGAAAACTAGGATAAGATGGTTCTTCATGAAACAAATAATCTCCAACCTCATGAACAGTAGATTGGTTTGGCACTAGTACCCTGTATTGAAGAAAGACTTTTATTTTAGAAACACACAATGGAATTATTTATGTGACCTAGAGTCTGATCTAGAGTCAGATTAGGGAAAGGGAAAGACACCAAAAAACACTTTAGCTTAAATAGAATGAAGGATAAGTTACAATTTCATAACAGTATTGAGGATATCAGGATTTTTTAAATATGTATGGATCTGATGCTTGGCATATACATATTAAACTCTTTATTTGAAAGACTTCATCCACAGATGGTAAAATTCACCTGTACATGAGTGGTCAGCACTGTTTTTAAAGGCTGATATGGCAAACAGGTCTTGATCTCCTCTGTACTTAGGTGAACTTCAAAGGGAACTTGTGCCATAACCGCCTTCAAGAGAAACTCAAAAGGATTGTGTAAGACAAACTATACAAAGACATAAGCCAGACTATGTTAACAATGGCACCTGTCAGAGTGGCCACACTCCATCCACCTGCAACAGGTAAGTGATCTTACATGGAAACAGCATATATGTTGGTTAGCCAAACAACTGATTAAACCTTTAATTAGATATGCAAGCTGATTAAACTAAATATTTTGGAAATTTACAGTCCAAGGTGGTCTCCTGCTGACTAAATACAATAACTACTGGAATTCAAGTACAAAGAGACACTTATCAGACAAGCCATCACTTTTCAAGTAGAACTTCTAATACATTTTAACGAGGAATTCTACTTGGAAACTGATACCCAAGATATTGCTCAATAATAGGAAATCCATTCCAAGAAGATGAAAGGACCTACTGTTCGTTGAGCTGTATTGACTTTAATCCATATAGTTATTTATTTAAAACTGCAATTTAATAAGCTGTATCCCTGATAGCAAAATCTTTATCTCAAAATCAGGATGAGTGAAAATGAACAGGGTGGGTCGAAGTTAAGGATGGATCTTAATCATAATTGATTAATTTTATTTTATCTATATCCAGACTTAATACAATTAAAAGGGCACCTAAAACATACTCTACAGGTAAAGTGACTTGTCAGGATTTTACATCTTATGTATTTTATACTGTACACATAGGCTAAGTGCAGGCAGTCAAAAAGCTTAACACTGAATCAATTCAATCTCTGCAGGTTAGTCTAAGCTGCATATATTGAACCAATAGCAAGTGAATAGAAATTCATTTTTGATACTGAAAATGCAGCCACATGCCTGCAGTGCCCCAGGCCAGAAGCCAGGGGGTGCTAAAGAATGCCCTCCTGCTCTGCTGAAGCGGACAGCTTGGTCCAAGGCTAGCCCGCCCACTGGGGGGGAGGGGCATGTTGTGGGGGAACTGCAAAGCATGCTGGGGGACTGTGAGTTAACTTGAATCTAGAGGGGATCTGGGACAGAATTCAATAAACTAACCTAATCAGTTCAGTCTGATGCTACGTCCATCTAGGTTTATCTTAAACTGGTTTCTGTCATTTTGAAAGCAGTTTATGTGCACTGAATTTCTGTCGTGTCACACGTTTCAACCAGTTTCTGATCACTTATACTGGTTTATGTGCAATTTCTGTCCCTAGCTGTAGAGTCTTTTCCTAGAGGGGTAATGAATTCCCACTGGTTTCAATGGCAGTTGAGGGGCACAGTTCTACATGGTGCTGCATTCCCTAAAAACAAGTGATTATTGAAGATTATTGAGGTATAAATTGCATCCCCATGAACAAAATTACATAGAGTTTTGCATTAAAATAATTTGTCTTCCATTGCTTTAACAAAAAATTTCCCACCCCCCCACAAATTACTGCCCTGACACCACTGAATAGATTTTCTGAGGATCTTTGGGCAACTTAGTTTGCTTAGGAGAAAACATTTTAACAAGTGAGCCCTGTAGGGAATGTAACACCTTTATGCTGCTGTTAAATCATGGATGACAATATCACAGCTGAAATGTTATCCACAGGCTACAAAGAAGAAATGTTTAGGCTTAATGGTATGTAATGGCAATTCCACTTTCTCTCTGTGCTAGATATTTTTCATAATTTTGCAGGGGCTAAGCATTCTATTACATATAATTCCACAGAGAAAATGCCCATAAAAACACTGTTGCTATTTCAATTTGATACAAGGCGGGGGAGAGGAGCAGTATTCTCTTTGGACTTTCTTGTTTAGTGATCATCTGTAATTTCTTTAAAAATTAAACAACACGCACATAAAATAAAAATATACACAAGAAATTTCCCAGACTTGAAACATTATAGCATGGCAAAGACGTGGATAGGGGGCACATATTAGTAGGTATATGTATAGCCCTGGAGGTAAAACTGCAAAAAAAGACCAGCCCAAATTTGAGCACTCTTGACAGCAAGAACAGGAAAATAGGTTTCCCTGCCTCACTGAAGAGTGCCTTGCTCACTAGGCTACAGAATCATGATCTCTCTTACTCCATCTCTGCATACATCATGAACTATGCTTCAACTGAGCTTCAGTTGGGCCACCTGGGGTGTCCACATCCAGAATCTTTTATAACTTGGTGGTTAGGGCACTCTCCTAGAAAGTGGGAGATACAGGTGTGTCCTTCAGGTTGTGAAGTGCCTAGATATTATCTCCTACTTCCTGAGCAAGTTCTCTAATGAAAATGTGGGCACCACCAATATTCTGCATTCTCAGAGCACTATCTGTGAATAAGTGTGCTTTGTGTGGACTTAAGGCACTTCCCCAGTACTATCTGGATCCAAACAGAGCACCCAGCTGCTCAAGCTGGATCCCTTCTGAGCATGCTCAAAAAGATGCGTAGGAAATTTTTCAGGCCAAAGTTGGGATATCTCATTCTAGGCACCTAACTTGTTTTGTTGCTACTAGAGTGGGTTTGAGCAGAATTGTTTTTGTGACTTAAGCTGTTGACGGACTTTCTTTTAAAGGTGTGATAGGATCTGATTCGCAATCCCAACAGTCATGCCTCCTGCCATGCCACACACGCAATTTTGGGATTAGGGATTAGATCCAAATTTCACCTTACTTGACAGTGCAGGAGGAGCCTGCATGCTCATGATCCCAGCAATGATCATGATCCCAGGCTCCCCCTGCACTAACAAGCTGAAAGCTGGGTGCTCACAATCAGCCAATTATCAACTGGGGCTGAGAACTGAACTGGGTCCTGGAACTGGCCCCAGTCTGGTTCAGGCCTTAGCCAACAATCAGCTGATTGTCAAAGCTCTAGCTGGGTAGCACACACAATTTTTACAAACCCAGTCCCAGCTGTGGGGCACGCATGGGTTTTACAGGTCCTGGAACATGGGGACAGTTTGCTGGGAAGTATCCACCCCCAGAGAACATGTAAAGACACCTATAGTTTTTAAAGGTGTGGGATTCAGTTAACCCAAGATCAGGGAGATGCTCCCCAGTGTCAAGCTCAACTCACACCCCATCTGTCTCCGGGGGCTGAGAGGGGGTCTGGAGTCCAGGGACTGGTTTTGCCCCAAGCCCAAATGAGTAGGGAACAGCTATGTTCCAGACCCTGAGGCTGCCCCATGCTGGATCCTGACACTCCCTGACACTGAATCCTGAGCATCAGAGTGGGTCATGGGCCAGCCCCAACCTGTCACATATTCAATTTAAGGTGTGATACAAACAAGCCAAACAGTTGTTAACAAATTATGTGGACTAATTTTGTAAGTTGCTTACTGTATTATCATGCCTTAAATTGACTTGAACAAATGGCCAGGTTATTATAAACAACATAAGTTTTTGTGTGGCATCAGATATCAATTTCTAAATCTATGAGCCACTGTCTAGTATTGTTCAATGTGCAGATTCTATCTGCCCCATAATGAAAGCCCCATCTGGGTATTTGTAAAGATTGCAGCTTTTGATTAAGTGCTGTGCTTTTGTTGGACACTGCTTTCCCACAGGGGGCTGTCCAAGATGTTCATTTTATAAAGTGTTGTTTTGAAGCATCCATATCCAGACCTCAGTCTGTTCAGCATGACCCAGGGGCTGGGGTGCTGGGCATCAGCCCTGGGGCTCTGCCCCATAGCCCCCCCTCAGGGCTAGAAGACCCAAAATACTGTATATAGTTTTACCCTCATATATAGTTTCCCACTTGTAAGTGGGTTGTTTATTGTTGGTGGGTGGGGAGGGTGGTGGAGCCGGTTCTGTTTGTTGAGGGGGGGACAGGGGCGGGTGTTGTGAGGATAATCAAGTTTTTCTGTTTCAAGCATGTGCATGTCCTGAGAGTGGTGCTGGGGGTGGGGAGTGTGTGGGCAATGGGGCAGGTGGGCTGGAGTGGGGAGCACAGGAGGAGGTGGTCAGGCAGGACCTCCTGCAGCCAGTGCCCTGGACCCTGCTCAGTGTGCATGGCTGTCCTGGAGCCTGGGTGGGAGGTAGGACCTGCTGGGGCCAGCAGCTGGGCAGTGGACATCTTTGGCAGGGCAGGGCAGGGGCAGGGGATGGAGAAGCCCTGGTGTAAGGAGGCAGGGTGGGCAAGGAGGGAGTTGAGCATGCTCTCCCTGTGCTGGGCAATGACTCCTGAGCAGGGAAGGAGCTGGCCAAGGATCAGAGTTTCCCAGATGGCTGCCAGGTGCTACCAGCTATATGGTCGGATGCTGAAGCTCCCCCAAAGGCCACAGGGGCACATGGTAGGGCTGCAGGGACTTGAGACTAACTTTAGTGCCAAGTCTCTGTATGTGTAGACACCTGCCAAAAATCACTTAATGCGTATTAATTTAATGCACATTAAATTTAGTTGCACTTAAATGCATGTGTAGGCATGCCCTGTATGTGCAAGTTGTGTAGTCTGTTATAAGTCTCAGTACACTATTAAGTACAGTGTTGAGTTTTTTAGTGTGGCGACTTGTGGACCATACAGGAACACAATATTCTGCTGGGGCATATATCATTGTGAGTGTGGTGGTTTTGAGCACTTTGAAATTGGCACTCCATGTCATGCGAGCTGAACTTCTTAAGGCAGCTACCCATGCAGAGACTTTACTGCTGACCTTCTGAATGTGATGTTTATAGGTAAGGGAACTGTCTAGTGTTAGTCCTTGGTAGGTTGGGGTATGTTCATGGGGAAGGATGTGGTTGCTTACTCTGATATTTAGTGTGCTCTTGGCTTGACAGTTCTCCAGGTGGAAGAGTGATGATACTGATTTATTGATGCTCAACTTTAAGTGCCCCTTACAGAGATAGTCAGTGAAGAGTTCCATGTTAGTACTCAGTATCTTTTCCAATTCTGTCATGTCATATCAGTTCCTTGGGCTACTAAGGCAACATTGTCAGCATACGTGTATTGCTTAGATGTATGTGGGAAGTCTGAGGTATATACATTGAAAAGTACTGGTGCTAGCACTGACCCTTGAGGGACTCCATTCTTCAGAGTGTGTACTCTGTTTATTTCTCCTTGGCTAGTAATGAGTTTAAATAAATGATCTGCTGGAGATGATGTTCATGATGAAGGCATGTAGCTTGTAGTCAGGTATCATAGAGTGCAGTTTATATTTGAAGCCTTGGTGCCATACAGCATCATAGGCAGCTGTAAGGTCAATAAAGACTGTGTATGTTTCCTACCTTATTTCAAATCCATTTTCTATGTCAGAGGTAAGTAATGTAACTTGGTCAGTGGTACACCACTTTTTCTTCTCATATTTTCTCCTGGCATAAGCCAAAAATTATACAGTATTTGGTGCTGGCATTGTCTTTCTTACATAGGAACACAATATGATGACAGCCACTCAGTGTTACCACAGTGGGTACAAGAAGTAACTACAACAGCATTCATAAGTGGTTATCAGCTCTTTTTTAAATCTGGGTATAGACGTATACCAGTATGCAAATTTATGGTTAGTTACTTGTATAGAAGATTTTTCAGGGACGTTTGCAATGGTCTGCACCACATCCTGGAGTCCTATATCACACTCCTGCTATTACTCCTACACACATTGAAGCCTCAGGATACAATGTACTGTCATTTTTATGATAATCCTTATGGCAAAATTGCATTTACTGCAATAGCCATTCACCAGCTATGCTCTTAATATACAAACATCTCCCATGTGAAGCAATAACTAGAACAAATTACATGTATAGAACATGATGGGCATGTGTCATACTTCCTGAGTCTGGCCAATGCTGAAAAAAAATATGTAATGGTGTTTACAACTTTTGAATTGATGGCTATGAATGACAGAGAGACAGGAAGGGGACTGCTTTTTTGAACTGTGAAAACCTGAAATTTCCAATATGTTCTTGTTTTACATTGGGACAAAGTTAAAACATTTCTTTCTCTTTGAAAAAGAAGGAAAACAAGAGACCTAAGAACACACTAGTGATTACAGTGCTTGTTTGGAATGGGGTAGTCCTAGTTTCAGGGCTCTCATTTGCCCTCAACAGAGCAGGGATTTGACCTAGAGTTTCCTACATGCCAGATAAATGCCCTAATCATTGGTCTGTTGTCTAATCTGGAATAGGTGTTGGTGAATTGTTGCTCTCTCTAGTTGGAATAGGTGTGGGTGACTTGTGATCTCTCTAGCTGGAAGTCTTCCACTTTCTTATATAATTATTTAGAGAGACAGAGAGAGGCTGAATCCATGGCCCATTAGTCACAATGCTCATTTGAAGGTGGAAGATTGAGGTTCATGGATGTTCTTGTAAGATGTTTTAATGTCAGTGAATCAACATTTTTCCAACTCAAAGGGTTTTAGTTTTCTCCTTTCTTCAGGAGAGAAAAAAATTCCAAAAACTTAAAAAGAAATTTGCAGGAAAGAATGCGAGGGTGGGGAGGGCAGGGAGCACCTCAACTCAGCAAGGACTCAAGCCTCTTTATCTACTGAGCTACCTTCTGTCTGACTAATCACCTGAGATCTGGGTTTTCCATTTCCCACAAAAAAACAGAGTAAAACACAGGTTTCCCCCCTTACCATAGTAAAATGCAGATTTCTCATTTTAGAGGAGAAATCCATGGATTTTGCAGTTTTGAAATGATCCTTCTGCAGGCTGGCAGAGTCCCAGCCTGCAGGGAGGGAGCGGGAGAAGGGTGATCAGGAAGGGGGTGTCATGTTCATGTACATGGACATGGCCACCAGGCAGCCTGGAGAACAGGTCCACGAGGTAAGTTGGGGGCGGGGGGATTGGGGCCCCCCTAGGGAGGGAGGCAGGGAGGTGGGCAGTGCTTGGGGCCTTGGGGCCGCAATGCGTGGCCACAGGCTCCTGGCAGGAAGTGGGAAGGGGCCATGGGCAGCTTGTCCAGGGGGTGGGGGTGGGGCCAGCTCCCTGCCTCCAAGGGGCGGGGGGGGG